GAAACAAGAAATGGACATTGCATTGTGAACAGCTGCAATGTTGATGTGTATCTTTCCTGGAAAACTTTTCCTGGAGTTTTTGCTGTGCTCTGCACAAACAGGAGTGTTTGTGATTTGCACTCTGCCCGACACAATCCAGTAACTGGGATGTAAAACATAAAAAAAAATGTTTTGATCAGGACTGTGCACAGCTGAAAAGGTTGTATCATACAACGTATACAAAGTGTAAACATTTTCCTTCTGAGGATTATGAAATTTAAAGGCTCAATACAAGGCCCTCCTAAAAGAAAACAAATGATTGGCAGTGAAGGAGACCTGGTAGAAATTAATTCAATCAGTCAGGAAGTGGGATTCTTCCTTCTTCTGACAAACTACCAGAGGACTAGGAAAACTGCAAGCCCCCCCCCAATCAAGTACCAAAACAGGTAGTCCTCAGTTAGTGACCACAATTGGGACTGGCAACTCGGTCATTAAGCAAAGTGGACACTAAGTCAAACTACGATTGTGCTTATGATCTTACTTCAGCTTTCCTTTGCTTTACAGATCTGTGAAGGTCATAAATGTGAGTATTGGTCACTAAGTTACCTTTTCATCACCATCATAACTGCAAATGGTCACTAAATGAGGCAGTCACTAAATGAGGACTAACTGTACAAACCTGGGAACAGTATTTTAGAGGGTTGCACGTGGACCCAGCTAGTAACATAAATGAGAGTGAAGTCGACCTGGACCAAGTTCAAAATTGGCCCCATCTTTGTGCAAGAGATAACCCGATTGAATCCCTTAAGGTGAACACCTGCTCCAGGTGTTGTTTGTGTTTTGCCTGAAATAGTTAAAAAGAATCCCAGCTGGTGGGTGCCTCTGCTAGCATTGCTATTTACATTCATAGATCAGACTGGTGATGTTCCAAAAGATTGGGGGTTGGCAATAATAGTCCTAATCTATTAAAAGGGCAAAAATTACAGGCCTATCAGCCTTTTGAGTGTTGTTAGCAAATTATATGCTAAATACCTAAATCACAAGCTCCATGACAGGACAGAGACAGAGGGTATAATCCAAAATGAGCAGGCAGGATTCAGAGAAGGGAGGTCAATAACAGACTACATTTTGGTGCTCCACCATCTTGTACAAGAATAGACTCATAAAAAGAAATCCTCCCTTTATGGCCTTTCTAGATTTTAAACATGCCTTTGACTCAATTTTCAGGAATGCCCTTTCGGGAAAATTAAAAAACACAACTATTGACAGTCCTCCTCTTTCTGATACAGAAATTATACTCCAACACCACCTTGAGTGAGGTGCAACCCCCAAGGGTCCCGCTCTGGCACAGTAAGTGCTGAGAAAGGAGTGAGACAGGGATGTATTCTTGCCCCATCTCTTTTCAACTTGTACCTCAGTTCAATGGTGCACCTTCTTCATAATCCGGATTTCCACACACCTAAACTAGCAGGGCGCAAAATCCCTATGCTCCTCTATGCTGCTGCTGCTGCCATAATTTCACAAACCCTATAGGGCTGAAAAGAGCAATAGCAGCAGTATTTTGGTACTGCAGACCCAATCACCTTAAATGTGGGTGTTCTTAATTTTAATACATCTAAAATTCTGGTCTTTGCTAAAAGAGCCATCTAACAATCCTGGAGAATAGAAGGGCATAAGCTAGAGCAGGTTACTGCATTTAAATATCTTGGGGAGGTTTTCCACTCTAAAGGCACTTGGAAGGCGCATCAGAATCATGTAATGCAACTAGCTCTTAAGTCTACAAGTGCTATTAAGGGCTTCTTTTATACAAGCAGAGGACAATCAATCCCTGCAGCATTAAAAGGTTTTGAGCCCAAACCTCTAGCCCAAATCCTTTATGGGGCACAAGTAGGAATTTATGTGAAGAAGGATGCACTGGAAACAGTGCAAACAAAATTTTTGAGATCAATCCTTGCTGTTCCCAGTGGAACAGCAAATGCCCAGTTAAGGCTTGAGACAGGAATACTTGCAATCTAGGTAAGGCTTGGAGGAGGATAAGCTATTAGCTGAAAATCCAATTCTTCCCAGTCGGACTGACCCCTTTAGTTTTAATAGACGATTTTCCTTCTTCCTGGAAACAGACTGTAGAACAGAAGTTGGCTTTCTGTACCATTCCTAATCTTTTTAGGTTATGACCAAGCCAAACAACTGCTCACTCAAAGAATAAGGGATATGAAATTTCAGATTGAAGTTAACAGGCTGCCCCAACATGGCAGAAATTGGATAAATAAGGGCACTTGGGAACCAGCAAGATATCTACAAAATCTAACTTTCCCCAAACTGAGAATAACATTTTTCAAAGCCAGGCATAACATTTTACCATCCGCACTGCTGCAAGGCAGATACTCCAAAACCCCATTAACTGAGCATACCTGCCCACATGGCAACAAGATCAAAACCGTTTCACATTGTAAACTCTACAAAGATATCAGATCTGCTTATATTCTGCCCTAAAATGTAAATTTCCAGAAAGACTTGACAATTTCTATGTGAACCATTTTCTAGATGATTTGAAACCATTTATCCCCTGTGCAGTAGCCAAATTGTGTTGCCGCAATCAAAATAAGGCATAACTAGTTACGGAAATAATCACTTCTGCTTTATTTATCACTTTATATTTAACACATGCTAGCTATCTTGTTTTTAGATGATATGTATTTTACTTCATAGTCTGTAATATTTTAGATTTACAATTGCACAAGAAATTAATGCACCGTTATAGCAGTGTATGTCACATTTTTATGTGTAATTTTATTTTTGTTATGCTAGTATTTTATCTCATCTACTCAATTTTACTTTGGTGTTGTATTTTTTTTTTTTTTGTCATTGACCTATTATTATATGGTTGGTGGCAACCATCCAGCCAGATGTTTAGACTGGAATTATTATTATTATTATTATTATTATTATTATTATTATTATTTCGAGTCTTCCTCCAACAGAGTCAGAGCTGTTCAGTAAACAAAGATGCACACTGGGATTGGCGCACAGGGAGAGGTGGCATAGGAGTGATTACATCCAACGTAAGCCACCTACCCATTCCAGTCAGTGACTAGGGCCTCAGCCAAACTGCCCACCAGATCCTCAAGGAAAACCCCAAGCTCTCTCTGGAACTCCACTGGGTTCATCAATCACCTGGGGCCAGCCAATCAAATGGATCCAGTTTCCCTGCAGGGAGGGGTGACACCAGTGAGCCAGAAGGCAACCATCTCTCCATAGCAGATCCCTGTTGACAGAGTTGATTACAACAATTTGCAGATAGCCCTTAAAACCCGAACATACCAGGCCATTTCATTTGCCTATTAAAACATTTCTATGATGATCAAGAAACAAAAGCATGGGATATGAAATCAGGAAAGAAATGCTAGAGAAGAAGAAAATGTAATTATGGAGGTTTTATAACAGTTTTATAACAGATCATTATCTTCTATTGATAAAAAAAAAAAAGACCAAGAGTTCTCCTAGGGTAGAAAGGGATTAAAGTCTGATTTTCCATTTAACGTTGACAGATGACTCAAAAGATTACCTAAAATGTAAACCCACCAAAGCTCCTACTTGGTTATTTCCAGTAGGCTGGTGTCCTGAAATTAACATATACACCATAGTAACTTACATAAAACTTGCCTGACTGGTCATCTGGATACTGTACAATTTGTTGGAGCTGTTATCTAGATTCCAGCAACTAATTATTTATGGGGGTCCTTTAGGGTACACAGTATATTTGCATTAAATTAGGAGAGAAAGCGGGTGTTTCTAGATGAGGCTTATTGTATAATGATCTGCTTTATCCAGATAAGCATAACCTCTTATTTCCCATGTTCCCCCCTCCACACACAAACTTGTTTAAGATTGAATATCCAAAATCTTTTGCTTGCTGGCACAACTTTCAGCCTCTCAGTATCCATGGAATCATACCTTTTTAAAATTCTTCTTAAAAGAAGTAATCGGAAAGGGACAATATACAAGTCACTTGAACCTAATTGCCTTATAATTGCTGAATAAGTAGTGATAAGATATTCTAACTGCAACATACATACATTTATTTGATTTTTACCTTCTGCAGGAAGTTTCCTTATTGCAGCAAACATTAATAGAAATGAAAAAATCCACCTTTTATATCCCATCCTGGGTGCTTCCTGGAAAGTTTGCATTAACCCAGCTTTGCTGATTTACTCCGTTTCTGAAGGCAATGCAGTTAATAATTTATAGGACAGCTTGACAGACTGGGAAGCTTCGGGGAAGTCAGCTGAAAGATTATCTCATAAACAGCAATTCAGTCTAGGTAGTGAGAATTTGGGGGGAAAAGTGCCTCAAAGAGACTTCACCTTAATTAACTCAATTAAATTGAGGCTGGGAAATTCCTATTACAGTTCCCAAGTTTCTGTATTTAGCCCCAGACTGGCAGAAAAATCCTACATTGAAATCCATGTCATTTTTGCTTCCTTGCTCTTGCCAGCTATATAGGGTGACGGACAAATACTGTTCTTGTTTTCAGTATGAAACTTTATTCCCAAATAGAATTATGTATACCTACAACTAAGTTGTAAAAAGGCAATATCCTTTAGGAAATGTGAAAAAAAAAATCTGCAATGCTTATATATGATCAGTTAAAAGGTTTTTGATGTGACTAAAGTTAGCCCCAGGCTGGGTTTTTTAAAAATTATTTTTAATACCTATACATGAAAATCTGTTCACTTTACTGAATATCATCTCCGCAACTCTGAAGTAATTCATGTCCTAATAACCTCACACTTGGATTATTGTAATCCACTACATAGGAGGCTACCATTAAAGGCAGCATAGAAGCTCTAACCAGTACAGGATGTGGTTGCTGGATTGTTAAATTGGAAGCTAAGCAGGACTACATAACACTATCCTTATAAACATTACAGTACTTCACAAGTTCAGTGTAAGCATTGACAATCTATTACCTTCTAAATAATTTAGGATTTATGAATGTAAAGTAAAATAAGCTGGGGAGGCCTTGTTCATAGTCTCACAAATGGTTCAACTCGTACTGCAGTTGCCAGCAATAGAGCATTTTCCATGGCAATGTCCCAATTATAGAACTCTTCTGAAGGGACGTTTGGCTACCCCTTCCCCACTCACATCTAAAAAATAAGTAAAAACAGGCATATTTACCAAGACATTTGCAGGTAAACATAACTTTTAGATTACCTATTACTTTGCTTCTTTTTAAATGAAATTTGCATTATTTTTTGTATCCATTGTTGAGTGTTGGTTTTATTGTAATAGCCTTATTTAAGTTTTTTATTTTTCTGTTGTAAACTATTCTGGGCTCCTCCAGGATGAAGAAAATAAATAATAGGCCAAATCCTCAGACCACTACATTTTATTGAAAGGGAAGCCTTGCAATCAACTACTAGAAAACAAAAGTAGCAGTTTTTACTAACAATTTGTTAGCCATGTTCATTTGTGGACACTAACACTACCACCAAACAGATCAAGGCATTTAAATACTTAGGAATTACTTTTCAATCCTCTGTGGCTTGAAGGAAAATCAAAAGTTGATTTAAAATCAAATTCTTTATGAAAGAATTCTAACAACTGCTGTGTATCAAATGCAAGCCTTATAATAAAATCTAGTCACAAATTTCTTGTGCCTTTTTCTCTCCTCT